GGACTTGTTATCTCTAACATCGGGATATGAATATGAAAAAATAAATAAATTTTAAACACTAGAAATAATAATTTTAGTAATAAAACATTTGAACCATTAGTTTTCATTGTTTTTAGATGGAACACCTACTTGCATCCTATCTTTAAGATAGATATTTCACACTTTTTGGACTGCATATGTAGAAATGAGGTCAAGCCTGCAAGAAACAATTTTTTTTTTTTTTTTTTGGGTAATTCAATGGGGAAGACATACCCCTACCTGTATTTTTAAGTAGATTAGAAATTAGCTTTTTGAATGTGTTGAAGGAAATTTCTAATTCCACCCTATTGACTATTCTTCATCAACGGTTTCAAAGGTCCAAAGAGTGCATCGGCTGGTGATCTAGGCCTACCACTTTTGACGTGTAGAACCAAGATGGCCTATCACGTTTGACGTGTAGAACCAAGATGTTGGTCTAGCGCCGTTTGGTATTCATAGTCATCAAAAAATACTGAACTCTAGCACATCATTAGCTGATTTGGGAGGAGGATTTGGTGGGACTTTTGAAAGGTTCCATCATTGGATGAGAAGCTCCTCCTCGATCTGCTAATCTCGGTTGTCGGAAGCATCATATCGAGGTTTCTGACTTTCTGGTTAGCGGTTGAGGAAAAAGAAGGTTTGGCTTCATCCGATGGAGATAAATCAACAAGCCCTCATTCTTTTTGATCCAGATAATGAAAAGGCTCTTTTGATGGTGGATAACCCTTCAGAAGATATATTTCTACATCTTGAGAATGGTTTTGCGCAACATCATGGAGTAAAAGAAGGAACATACAATAAGTAGTCTAGTGCGTCACATGGTGGCGTCAAAAAAAACTGTGGCTTTTTTAACGAGTGTTTTGGCCACTATATTAGCCTCACGATATGTGAATTGTACGGCTCACGTTTAGTAAATCTATGTGTGCAATTGGCAGCCACAATGTGAAGATGCCATGGGCTGCGTCTATAATGAGAATGGTTTGGTGTTCGATGATGGCAAGGTGAACGAGTTAGCTATTGCTGAGCCGGAGATAGTGCCTACTCTAGATGTCATTCTAGTTGATGCTCAACCTCCTTTGCTTCTTGCCATTGAGGAGAAAGAAGAGCAGGTTTATTCTGATATGCTCGATGATATGGGTCTATCCTTCAATGTGCCCATTGCTAATGTTTTTTAGGAGATCAAAGAGAAGTTAAGAGCGGCTAAGAAAAATAAGAATAAGCAGAAACTACTATCCTAGAGGCAGGCTGAGGCATCAGAGAATCGCAGGGAGAGGCATCAGAGAATCGTAGGGACTAAAGGCATGTAGATAGCCCCTTCAAAATTCTAGTTAAGGGAATTTCTAAAAATATTGATTCTGAGTCCAAAGGACCACATACATCCTAGTAGACCATAAACAATCTACAACCAGCAGAAATGTCTCAAACCTGCTCAAAACTGTCTCAAGCTGTAGTAGACTCCGAGAGCTTTCCAACGGTCTAAGAATCATCTGAATCCTTCTTATAGATCAAAAGAAACAAGCCTTTGAGTTTTTATGGGTGAAAATTACCAAAATACCCCTAGAAATGGGTCTGAGAGCCCCATCCGATGCTCCGCGTGTTGTGCGGGTCGTGGGATGCTTCGTGCATTGTGCACAGAACCGTTTCTCATGTTGTGTGGCCCGATAATGCAGTAAAACTTGTTTTTGAATTGGATAAATTTAGGAAAATCTGGAAAAATCCGAAAAAATCAAGTAATTACCCTAGATTACTCTAATTGAGCTAGGAGATCAGGTTTGATTAATTTCAACCCTAACCCTAATCCAAGCTATAAATACCCCTCTCAAAACTCACAAAAACCATGCAAAAATAGATTGAAAATAGGAAAAAAGTAGGAGAAAATTCCCAAAATTAAGAAAAATACCCAGAAATAGCCAAAATTAGAAAAAGGTCTTAAATTTTTTTTAAAAATTAGAAAAAACCAAAAAAATAACCGAAAATCTCAAAATTTAGATTTTACTTTAGGAGGTCCCCAAAACCTTAGAAAACTAGCAAAATCCTCCTCCAAACCCAAGAAAAAACTTAGGTAGATCTTGCCTAAAAATCTGGAGCTTTTTCTCCAGCCTTGGGAACTCTGTATCTAGGTAAAAGAACATTAGATCTATCAATTTCAGCAAACAAAAGCATCCAAAAAGAAGATGGTATTGTAAATCAGAAGAACGGCTTGATCAAAACCTAAAACTCTGGGTTTCGGATCCTTGGAAGGTGAGTATTTCTTTCTTTATTTAATTTAGTTTATTTTTTCTATTTTATTTAGTTTATTTTCCTGTTATTCTATTATTTCTTAGATAGTAAAATTGCAATGTGTTTTTAAAGCAATTTTACACAAATCTAGAAGCTTGGTGGACTTAAGAAAGAATCAGATCTGAATAGACCTATGCCGTTATTGAGCTTAAGTGACCCCAATTTCTCAATTTTTCCATAATTAACTCAGTTTTAGGGAAGATTTGAGTTGATCTCATCCTAGAGATTGACATAGATCAGAGTGTAAACAGCTTAGCATCCATCGTGGGGCCCCTTGAGCTTTTGATCCTATGTATTTTTGCATTAAAATACTTTTTCAAAAATAGAAAATCAGTAAGATAAAAAAAATTGGAAAACTAACACGAGACCCCGAAATTTCATTTGGAACCAATTGCCCTATGTGCGACAGAGACAGTCCAAGTGTCTCTTCAGGTCTCCCCG